TTTAGCAGACACAAAAGATGAAAGATGAAACTGCAGCAAGAGAGCATGGCAAATCCAAAAGATCTATTAGTGCATAAATCTACTGGAAAAAAAACAACAAAAGAGATAGAAAGAATTAACAAGCTACAATAAAAGTTATGTCTTTAAAGCAGTAGATTATAACAGGGTGGGAAATGTTTAATATGTGTCCTCTTGAAAAGCAGTTACTATCTTTTAAATTAAAAAAAACCAGCTGGTATATTTTCACAGCATCTAGATTTATTTATGGTATAAAGCCATAGAATTGTATTATTACTCCTTTCCCACCCTGGCAGAGAATAAACATGAATTCAGAAGCACAGTGGAGTGAAAACAAAGAAGAGGAGAGAGAAAAAGGCAGCAGAGAAAGACAGAAAAGGTGAATACAGAGCTACAGAAGTGTTTATTGAGCATGCTACAGAGGTAAGCAGAGTACACACAAAATGAAATTAAACAACCATCAAACCTCCCAACTTTGTTAGAAAATTAATTTTTAATTGTGCCGCTTTCAAACTATACTGAATTTTACATTTCTAAAGATGTAAAAACTCAACTAATAGAAAATATACATGACCATTCTGTCTACATAGATAACAGAATCTATGAATCTTGAAACTAAGTACATCAATTTCAAAAAGTATTGGTCATTTAAACAGAATCAACAATTCAGATTGACAAGAACTGTTCAAATTAATTTGACCTGTAGATTCTGAGCCATGTTTTTATTAAAGTCAGATCTATTCCTAAATACAAAATATTTTGAAGATTTATTAAAACTGAATATTACAATGCAAGGTAAATTAAGACTAAAGGCACATAAACTTTGGTCCCACCTGGTTGTCAGTTTTAGAAAACTGCCACAAAATTAATCTTCCTGCAAATTCCGCAGTACACTTTCTTTATCTTTGAAAAATACATGCACCAGTTTCTGAACTAGCTAGACCAGTCTGCACATGCTCAGAAATCCACAACCATATTCCAAATCTTAATTACAAACTAAGGATGGCAATATATATTTAAATGCACATAAGTCATGTCAACTTCAAAAACATCTACGAAAAATATTCAGCCACAAACAAGACATTACTTAGTGCTGACATTTATATGATACGTCCCACAAGAGTGTGTACAAAAAGGTTAAGATTCCACAATGCTTTCCACATAGGGCTCAAACTTACAGAAATCACTTTGTTGTCTTAAGAAATTAATACTCTGCATCTTGTTAATTTTAACTAATGCCTACATTCGTAACTGAATCTAGACCAGAATTGTGAGATACAAAAGGCCAATGTTTTTTTAAAGCAATAAAGCCTAAGGTAGTGAAACCTAAAAATGCTGCTTTATTCTTTCAGTAGCATGTACCTTATTTGATTAAATAGAAAATAATGTGACAAGTCAATAATTCAAAATAAGTTCCAAGCAGGAGAAACAAAAACTTAACCTTTTTACACACCCCTGCCTAAACATATTTTAATTCCCATATAACAATGTGCCCTAGACAACCAATTCCTTTTTTCTAGTAAATGCACAATAGCAACACTAGTTTTCCTTTTTAAGGCACGTATGTCAACTAAGTTGAAAAAAGAAAGCAAAATTAAACTGAAATTTTAAACAGACAAAAATGGCGTCCCTATAGAACAGATGAAATACAGCAGTTAATAACTCTGCCTTTACATATGCCATTTCATTTCATAACCAAGGAATGATAACAGCATGGGAAAAAAGGAAAAAAAAATAACAAAAAAAATCAAACTCTGGTCCCCACTTTTCTGAACAGTCAATAGGTGATGACACCAAACAATGTGATTCACCCCAATCTTCATCTCCCACTTTTTAAATTGTTGACTTGGAGAAAGACACTCTCAGATGATGGTTTTCACCAAGGTTATAATTATGAAGATCAATCAAGGCCTGGATAGCTTCTTCCACTGTTGCCATCTGAAGAAGAGCCATTTTGTGATCTCTTCTGAAACAAAATTATGAAATTAGATACTTCATAAAAACTCGGAAGGGCTCATTAAATACTTGAATTTTGCCCATTCCAGAATCAAAAATTTCTACAAACAAAAAGAATAAAAACTACTTGAAGAAAACATTTATTTCTATCAAGTCATTAATTTAAAGACAAGGAAGCTTGCTTACTGAAAAAACTTAAATGCTTTCACAGTGCCCCCAGTGTTAGCAAACAGTGTTCGTAGATCCTCTTCTGCTACTGAAGGACTAGGAAAATTGGATAGGAAAAAAAAGCAAAGATTAATAATAAATTTTATATTTTATTAAAATAAAACATATATCCTTAATAAAGTCCAGCTTAAATACTTACGGGATATTAGACAGGTGAAGGGTTGCAGAAGGAGGAAAAATGTTCTGAAAATTTTTGGATCCAGGTTTCTTAAAACGATGCAATGGGGAATTACCAAAATCTTTTGTTAGCCCTTGATCATCAAGTCCCTCTCGAGGTAGTTGTACAGTCTGATGTTTAGAAAGAGTAACACGAATAATTTTTCCATACATTTTCTGTCCATTAAGATGGTTCATGGCTACAAAAAGACAGAATGCTTATTAATAAACAATACTGAAATTTAAAACAAAAATAATTCTTATTTTAAAAATAATAGTTTAAAATCTGATTTTCTGATGATTTGAAAATAAATCATGACTTTAGCATAGCCATTAGTGACAAGACTTCTATTAGATTTTCACTTGTAGTAGGTAAGATATTCTGGTAAAAAAGCCAGCTTCTTTCACAGAAAACCCAGATTATGAATATCTATCTTCCTCAATAATCCTGCCAATAAATCATGTTTAGCTACCCAAGAAAGAAACTTAGTAGTCAACTCTCTTTTTTTTTCCTTCCGCTACACATCCTAATTACTATGTCCTATAATAGTCCTTCTCCTACTTGTCTCTCAAATTCATATTCTCTCCATTTCTCTACTTTTTACTGTATTTTTTCTGGATAACTGAATCAGTATCCTCATTTGTCTTCGTATTAGATATTTCTCTATATTTTTTTTCAATCCATTCCATACATACCAGCTTGATGACCTTTGCAAATTATAAATTTAATCATGCCATTACCTGCTTAAAACCTTAGGGACAAAGTTTATTATTCCTTAAAATGGCTTACACTTTTCCCAGTCTGACCCTTATACAGGTTGAATATCCCTAATTCAAAATCCAAAATTCCCTAAGATTTAAAACTTTTTGAGTGCCCACTAGAGCATTTCCGATTTTGAATTTTCATATTTGGGATGCTCAATTGGTATAATGCAAATATTCCAAAATCTGAAAAAAATGTGAACTCTGAAACACTTCTGGACCATATCATTTTGGATAAGCGATACTCAATCTGTATATAACTTCCAGCTTCTTTGAGCATATGTTTATCAATGATGTGCAATATTAACCACTGTGTTAGTGCTAGGAATAAAGTGGTAATAAGACAAGACACCATCCCAGCCGTCATGGAATTTATGGTATCTTAGTACTGTATACCTTGCACTTTATGCTCCAGCTATACAAAACACATATCCTGACACTAAGTGCTAGTTTCTCTTATTTTTATTCTTGTTTACATGATCTTCCATCTATAACAATTTCCTATGTCCTTTCCTTTTCTTTTTAGTCTATTCATCCTTTGAAGTCAATTCTCCAGGAAGCCCTTTCTTTATTCTCTGGAAAGGTTCAGAATATCACTAGATGTATCCTATACCATTTTATAAGTTCATCATCACAATTTATTGTCATTATCTATAATATTCTCCTTCAGACTATAAAGTACACGGAGAAAGGAATTACTGTCTCTACTCCAGCACATAGTGCAGTGCATGAACACAGAACATTACATGATTATTTTTTGAGGTAGTGTTGAGTTATTTTTAAACTAAATGAACTGATCTGATGTTAGAAACAGTTTTGTTTTATTTATCAGTCACAACTAAAAAAGACCATTTTTAATAAGTCATACACTTTTGGCTAAATTGAAGGTCTAAATGATTATATGAAACTGGATAAAAGCATTAAAGTATTAGCAGCAGAGCAGTAAAGAATATGGAAGAGCAGGAAATTGACAATAGAATCTACTCTCCAAGAGTTTCTAATATAATTAGTACACTATGGTACACATCTTCACACAGAAGATACCAAGAATTTGTTAAATCCATGAATCTTGTCATACTTACATGTATAAAATAAACCAATTAAAAAGTAAAACAACTGAAAAGGATAATGCTATGAAAGTATAAGGTACCATTCAAAAAAAAAGCAAATTCCTTTTTACTTACAACTTTCCTAATTTGTAAAAACAAGATTACTCTTCCTGAGTGTCACTACAATGTTATATATCTGTAACAGTTTTTCTATTTTCAACTGAGGCTAACAAAAAAAAAAAAAAATTCATCTCTCAGGCCTGAATCTTCTCTCACTTACAGTACATTTCACATACACTTATAAATTTACACTCACATTTATAAAACAAATTTTCAATTATCTACAATGATAATACATAAAATCCTTTTATAATCTCATTGAATTATAAAACATTTAAATAGTCCTATAATTCTATTGTTTTAAGTGAACAAGCTTCTATGATAAAGTGCTATACCTCAGATAAAACATATTATAAAGTATGAGTTTGGGGAATAAAGGAGACTAAGGTTGCCATAAGAAAGCAGTCTCAATGAAAAGGCTGCACAAACAGCTGAGCTTTGAGATAATGAAGGGTAGTAATAAGATAACAATAGAAAGTCTTATGCATAGTAATTGTATAAAGAAGAGACTGATAATAAAGGAATGGGATTAAAATAAAGCAAAATAATTAAACAGCTAGCTACCTCAGGAAGTTGCCAGGTATTAAGAAAGATTCAAGTCACCTGATTGCTAACACAAAGATCTGAAGTGATTTAAAGGAGGAGAGGAGAGGAGAGAGTGGCAATTAGAATATCAAAATTTTTAAGTTAAAAAAAAAAAAAAAACTTTGCCGAAAATTGAAGTACACAAAGATTAAACAAAATAAAGCAGAAATATCTTAATCACTAATTTTAAATGAATCGCTTTTTAAAACAATGAGAATCTTATACTTGAGAAATCTATTCCAATAAATATGGCATAAATGGACAAAACAATAATAAAGGAGGAAAAAGTCAGTGTTGCACAGTGGAAATAGCATTTTTGGTTGAACATAATTTTTTAGCTTTACCATATTCCACCTCTGAAGAAGATATTAATGAATTATGAAAATTAAAAAGACAGCAAGAAGTTGGCAGATACAGAAATTTATATAAAGTGGAACTGGAGCTATATCAAGGGTTCTCCCCTTTATAATTCAAAATATTATTTGTACCATACTCTCATTTCTTAAATCTTTACAGATACTTATCTATTTTATTACTTGCCTTTTTCAAAGAACTAAAGTTTTGGCTTTGTTTTTGCTCTCAACTGTTTGTCTTTTATACCACTAATTTCTAGTCTTTAATATCTCCTTCCCTTGAGTTTATGCTGTTTCTCTAAAGTTAAAACATTCTTTCAAAAGACCTCTTCTCTTTTACTGTACCACATATATTTAATTTATATTTAGTACTTCCATTACCTAGTTTTAAGTATTTTTAAACTCCCATTAAAACAACCTCTTCGACCCATGAAACACTGGGACTTATTTTTAAATTTTCAGGTACATGGGGATTTTAAATGTATTTTTCTGTTATTAACTCTAATTGTTCAATAGAGAATGAGGTCTGTATGATACTTCCTCTTTGAAATTAACTGACGCTTGCTTTATGGCTTAGTATATGATCAATTTTTTAAAATGTTCCATATATGCTTTAAAAAATGTACTAGAAGCATAACTGTTGGATGTATTAATAGAGAATTGTGTTGTATTATTTTATATCTTTCATTTTTTTTTGGTCTGTTGGACATTAATTCAGAGAGGTGGCTTGAAAGCCACCACTATAATGGATTTGCTCAATTCTACCTGCAGCTTTATTCATGTATGATTTATACTTTTTGAAGTTATTTCACTAGACATACATATACATAAAACTATTGTATCTTCCTGGTGAACTAAATCTTTTATCAATACCTTTCGTCTTAAATTAACAAAGTCATGTGAGTTTTCTTTGACTTACTACCTGCCCAATACATCTCTTTACATCCCTTTGCTTTCAATCTTTCCACATCCTTGAGTTTCATACGTCTGTTGCAAAGAGCATATAGAGAACTTTTCAAAAATCAAATCTGACAATATTTTAATTGATGTATTCCTTTACATTTGTCATTATTATTGATGCATCAGGTCTTGATTCTATCATAATTTCATTTGCTGTTTTCATCTCCTTCCCTTCTTTGTTTTGAGGGGAAAGAGCTCTTAAGATCTCTTTTTTGTGAGACCAACAATGCCTCAAAGTGTGACTTACTACTAATTACTCATGACAGTAATATATACACATACTTAAAAGTGAATACATACACACACTTAAAAACTTCTCAAATACCATAACACTAGAGTAATATGATTTCTATTCATTTTTAGAACACTTTGATAGATATCTTTTAGTAGGTAAAGGTTATGAACAAGAACTAAGTAAGTTTAACTTTTGAGACTGGCAGCTATACATTTAATTAAAAATAGAGATATTTTATAAGCAGTTGGTAAAAACATAATTTGAAGAAAGCAGACAATTATTTTTACTCTAAAGAAACTACTATTTTGTCAGAACTTAATCTCTGGATATTAGCATACTGTTTTTAAGATGAAAATTTACTTCTTAAAATGGTGACAAGAAAAAAATGACATATTTAAGAATGTTCTGTTGACTATGACGTTCTGTCAAATGGTTACTTACAATGTATATGAAATACCACCACTCTTACATATCTTTCATTTAAAATAGGTACCATTATAAAAATGGAGAACCAGATGGATAGTTTCATGCCTTGTCTGAGCTAAGATCATTGCCAAGAACACTAAAGTTTAAACTTACTGTTTGAAATTCCAACTTTTCTGATTCCAAAGGCCAAAGTTGGTCTAGTATATCATGTTGTTCATCTGAGTTTCATATGAATATAACAACAAAAATATACTAGTTCTTACATCAAAAATGGCAAATTTCAAAATTAACAATGTAAATACAATCAGTTTAAGGCACCATCATCCCTGAATCTCAATGAACAGAATTACAAGCTACGAACATACTAATATTTATAGTCAATCACTACTGTATGCAGTTATATTCCAGATTTATGTGACATGACTGTGTATAAAGTCAAATGAGATGTAAGTTTAATTAAAATCATCAATTATTTACCAAGTAATGATTTAAGTATAACTTGACTAAAGTACATCTTTAGTACTTTCCCAAAGGGATTAAGAACAGTGCTTTCGCATAGGTTTTTCATTCTGTAATAACTTGGTATCTCTAAAAGACTTCTTCCACGTGACCCTTTCCATTACTAAGTTCAGCCAAATACTTACAATAAATGACTTTAGAAGAATTAAAATAATGTACATTAATCAGGATTCTATGGACTACGTATTTGAAATCAGAACTGAAGATGTATAGGTAACAAACATATATGTTTAGTCTTACCAAGTTGTGATTGGTTTCCATCAGCCATCTGTATTAGAGCACTGTCTTTCTTATTGTACAAAATCTTCACACGCTGCACATCTCCATAAACACCTTTTTTGGAGTCACAGAGAGGTAATCCAAAAATGGAATTAATTTTATGTGCAAGTCAGCTAAAGATTATCTTTCTGACATATCAATGAAACATTCAGACATCAACATGATCACTCATTCAATCTCATCATTCTCACAAATGAATAAAGAAGATCAAGATTTTGAACAGTGAATTTTGAAAAGAATAATTTTTGATAAACCCTCAAAGCTATGTGAATGATATTAAATTAAAGACCATGCAAAATAAATCAGCATGCATTAAAACAAATTTTGTGTCTATGGAGAGTTTTAAATAGCAAAGAAAAATAGCAAAAGATTTACTATTCAACTTTAAGCCAAAGTGCTAGCTACAAATAAGAATTAAGGTGAAACAAAAATCAAATCAATAATAAAAGTATAGTGCTAACAATAACATACCGAAGAGGGTAAACAGACTTTGGGGCGTAACCATCTTTAGAAGGAGAGAAGAGCAAGCAGCGTAAGACAAGAAGAGAGAAGAGTCGAGGAAGAGCGGAGATGAACAGATCATCCATAACGAAGGGTGGTTCCCGCAGAATGGTGAGGTGGTCATGGATCATGGTTCAAGGCGGTTAATTGGGGCAAGTTGGTCCGAGGAACATTTGTTCAAGCACAGAAGCATGAACATAGGGAATGGAGACAGGGAATGAAGACAAGGACAAGGAAAATAAAGGATAAGACAGGGAAGGGAATGGGTATTTGGGAAAAGACAAGGAAAGGGAAGGTGAACACACAGGGAAAAGGATGAAATGGGGAAGGGAAACAGCAATGCAGAAGAAAAAAATAAGGAATTGGGGAACAAAAAAAAAATAAAATATAGGTCAGTACATAGGAAATGCAGGAATTTGGTCAGAAAATGGTTGGTTTATGTACTGTACAAGAAAAACTGAGTAAAATGTAGTCATCCAAGACAAATATGGGTAAAGTACATCTATATCAAAGAGTAAATTACAGCATTTCATCTCAACATAGGGAAGGAAAGCATGCATAGGAATTTTAAACTTTGAACTTTAACTGCATAAGCATGGCTGGTTATGAAATGCAGGCAAAAGTCTTAAAATAAAAACAAAGACACTCTGATTCAAACATTTTAGCATGCAGAACTGTGAATGATAATAGTATTAAATGATAAAATAAGCTTAATGTTCATATTAACAGAGGCCAATTAAAAATGAAACAAATATTCAAATTAGACATCATAAACTGATACATTGAGCTTCCCACATTTCATACCAGCTTTCATAGCAATCAAAATAAAATATACCAGACATAAAATGTACAACTAAATAAAATAACTTAGCGATAAATTTTACTCAACGGGGAGGGGAAGGGGAATAAAGTAGAAAAATATTTTTAGAAGACAATGACTAATAACTGCAAAGAAAAAATTACTAAGAAAGACTGGAAGAGTGCCTCGTCAAGATCTTTGGAAGAACCTTCAAAGAAAAATGTATTAGAGTCGTTCACATAAAATAAGATTTAAAAAAAATGCAATGACACATAAGCATGAAATGAACAAGCAAATAATTAGAAAAGGCAAAGAGCAAAATTGTTTTACAGTTAAATTTGCAAATTAGATCACATTTGCCTTTGAAAACAACAAAAAGATAAAAAGCCAAACTACAGTACTTCACCATATTTTTCTTAGGAAAAATAGGTAGTTAGGTTAAAAAAATATACATATATAGATATAAAGATATGACTGTCTAAGGAAATAAAGTATTACTTAAACAAGTATGTAGATTTTATTCAGAAGTAGAAACATACAGAAAATACTCTGACTAATGAATGTACATAAAAAGAAAGGCAAGTGCAAAATGAAATAAACATGAAAAACTTTCACAAATGAAATGGAGTTAAAGAATAAACATTAGAAATTATTTTACTAACCTCTTCATTTAAATTGCTAACCAACAGGACTGTATTGCCACCAGCTGAGACTCCAGGCATACCCACTCGGCCAGCAGCAGCTGCAGCAGCTGCTGCAGCAGCATTTGGAATAGCCAAAGGACTCAGAGCTCCTGGAACAGCTGCAACAGGAAGCCCTAATTTTAAAATAAAGTATATTTTACGAAACACACACAAGTCGTTTACAAAAACCAATTTAAGCACGATGGCTGCATGGCTTACGGCTGACCATTCCAAATGGTTCCTGAAAGTTAATTTTTATGTTTATAAAAATTATTTGCTGATGTGTAGTAGAGAAAGACAATTTATTTTAACAAAATCATTATTTCAGCTAAGATACATACCTGTATTATGTTAAAAATTAAATATGCATTTCTCCATTTCCTAAGGAAAAGCAAACAAAGCACAAAGAATATATTTCCAAGTCAGAGACTCAGAAAATTCACTTCCATGGTTTATAGTGAGAAGCCAAATGTAAAAAAATCACCTTCAACACAACAGTAATTCATACTTTTTCTACAAGTGCTATCTTCTTCATAAACTCACACTTGAAATCAAATAATCACACCTATGAAACAAATACAGGAAAACCCTTCAGTTCCTAGAGACAAGTCACTCTGAACATTATCTAATTCATGCAAATAACCTAAAGAAAATCTTAGCAAAATGTGTTTGCCTTAATTCTACACTTGAATAGTTACAATAAACATTAAGTGTCTCCAGTACAATACCCTCTAAGTAGAAAGCAAGAGAAACCCTCGCTATACAACAGACTTTCTATTTTAGTATTTTCCTATCCTTTGCCAATGTGTTTCACCATTTCTTTCTTATTTCTATTAATATTTTTCTAGTTTCCTGTCTTATTGTTGTCCTATTATCTTTAAGTCTTGCATACCTTAAGTCATTTATTATAGATGGAATTCTCTTTTGTCTTAGTACCCTTTATCCACTTTTCAATTACAAATGAACTCAGAATACTTTCATCTCTTAAATTCTTACATACCAGTTTATTTTTCAACAAATGTTAGGTCATTAAAGAAATTAATTCTATGTTCTTTATTCTTTTACCTTCCCATTATAAAGGAACAACATCCAAACTAAATGAAGTTGATTTCGTGACATACCTGGCCCTTACCACTGTCGTTCCATAAGTTCACATTTTATTTCTTCTCTCTTTCCAGCCTTCTTGAGCATTTCATAAGCATCTGCTGTTACCTTTGGTTTCAGAGATCTTAATCTTTTAGTTAAGTTTTTGACCTTTTTTATGACCTTTCATTGGTGGTCTTAATACTGGCAGTCTTTAATATTCACAATCCTTAACCTAAGTTTTTCGCTTACATTTGTTTTCTCCTCCAATATCCTTTTATAATTCAGCCTTTATCCCTTCTCTCCAAGTACTGTATCAATGGAATGATATGGTTCTCATTTAATATTATTGCTTTGGATGAGTTTATCTTACAGGCTTTTTGCCCATATCATTTATTAGGAGCTCCTTTTTTTCTTATTTCTCTACTTTTCTTTTTTTGATAGGACTTTTTGCTTTGGAAAGTTTCTAACATATATAAAAGTAAAAAGACTAGACTAATGAACCCCCATGTACCCATCGCACAGGTTTAACAATTAACAATTTACGGCCAATCTTGTTTCATCCACTCACTCATTTTATTTTTAAAGTAAATCTCATAAGTAAGGATCTAACTTTAAAATAGAAAAGTCTCAAGTCTAATATTTACTAATGCACAGTAGTCTTCAATGCCTCTTCGGATACACCAGTGTGAATCTTTTCAATCAACTATTCTACTGCATTACTAACTTTTCCATGTTAAATACTACAGCTCTCATTACACTTCATAGGTCGTTTCCATTTAACATTTAATGGCTAAGTTCGTTCGTTATCAAATATAAAGATATACTCCTAATTCCTAGGCACACACTCACATACACTGTAACCTGCATACTCTTAGAAAGTGACCTCCCCACACTTAATTTTTAACATTGTTCTTCAGTATTTTCAGATAGCTTTGCCTGAACGCACAGAACATTTAACATAAGTCAACACCACCACAATTATTTAATAGTGGAAATGCAAGATGTAGTGATTATATTGTCAAATCATCCTCTTGTTTTCCTGCCTTTAATTAGCTACCTTTTAGCAGAAAAAGTTACTTGAGATTTTGTTAAATTCTATAGTCTTTATGAGATCCAGTTGATGGCCAAAAAAAAAAGGCAAAAACTACCAACTGCAATACATGGCATACAGAAGAAAAACGTTCAGCACCAAGCCTCATGTTCCCTTTTAACAATAAAGACTTTCTTAAAATAAAAAAATCCAAAGATATATGACCTACTCTTTCCCACAATAAAAAATTAAACCAGTTTAATTTCTGGTTTCTTTTCATTTCTAATAGGCAAGAAGTGATTCTCAGGGCCCACTAAGCCAGAAACAATTGAGAAACTAATTGTAGTTAGTTACCAAAATCAAAATAATCTCAAAAATCTGATCACAAGCATTTCTCTGGTACATCTGTTGACACAGTCTACTGTTTATTAAAATACTCTGTATCTCCTATTTATCTACTAGAATTGTCTTGAACTTTGTATCCCACAGTGAAAAACTTGTCAAACTTTTTGGTCTCGGGACCCTTTTTACACTTTTAAAATTACTGAGGACCACAAAGAGTTTTTGCTTATGTGGGCTGTATCTATCTATTGCTATTTACCACTTGAGAAATTAAAACCAAGAACTTCTTAAGGCACAAAATCACACATAGTCTTCAGAATGATATGAGGAACACCACTGCACAAAGAGAATGAGAGTCAAAAAGACAAAAAACATTTTAGTATTATCCTAAAAGTTCTGACTTTTAGGCTTGGCTGACCCCACTGAGGTCTCAGGAACTCTTAAGGATCTCTGGAAAATATTTTGTAAGCCTCTATTATATAGACATATGCTTTGTATATATGGAGTGCTCAAACAAATACGTAAGAATTTAAAAGATACATTTACTTACTTCAAAGAAAATACTGTAATATATGACATACAGTAAAAAATAAAATGCTGAGTTAAAGTACACACTACTGACACTTCCAAAATTTATATATTTATATTACATTTTATATTTATATAATATATATGTATTTATATATTATACAACATAATATACAATATATATTTATATTAATATTAACTTTTAAAAAAGAATGCTAAGTTAAATTACATACTGACACTTCTAAAATTTATAGTTCCAAGTCACCTATTACTCATTTTCCCTGTTGACATCACAGGAAAAATTACTAATTCATAAAATATATACAAAGTTATCAATCTACTTAAATTCAATATCTATCTAAACATACAAGCCTAAGGTTAATACTTCATTTTTTAAAAAAATTATTTTTTCTGAGATATTTTTACCATGAGACCAACATGCAATTAAACAATCCAATAAAAATTACTCACCAAAAAGTTTAAAAGTGGTGAAAAACTTAAAAAAACCTTAAATATTAAGGCAATTGTTTTTAAAATACATTTTTTTCTTGAAATCAGGGTTCTATACAATGGAGATGACTTGGTGTCATATTATTTACCATCAAGCCTTATTATGGAAAAATGGTAAGTGAGAATTTTAAAAATAATTAAAATGAATTTAAAATGGTAGTTTAGAATTAAAAATCTAGGATAAAGCCCTTTTTTAGTGTGGTAGTCCCAAGAGACATTTTAAAAAAAGGCCAGAGAATGCTATATTTTAATAAACAATATGGTGCTTTAGTGAAATTATGACTACTAATTTTCTAGTCAGAAAAATTTGGGTTCAAAATAGATGCAATTTACCTCTCTATAGTAAGTAGATAATGGAAATCTTACCAAAAAGTAGAATGTAAGCTGTAAGGCCCCTCCAATGTCCTTCCTACTGAATGCTAATTCTTAGTCTCACTTGTCCAATTTACTTCCACCATTCTGGGCTACTGTACTACTAAGTCAGGTAGTAGTTTTTACACAGCCCATAGTATAGTGCAAGAGTGCTTTAAGAAATAAGGGGCAGTTACCATCTATCCCATATGTCACTAGTATGTAGTTCTCTACCATATTTCCTCCCCTGGGGCTGATATCCTAGAAAAACTACTTACGCTGCCTTTACACAGTTCTAAATCACTGGAGTAGTCTTAAGTTTTTACTGGACTTTTAATGCCTCTGAGAATAAATTCCACAGTTTTCCTCAGTATACTCTTCTCTGAAAAATTACTTTGTCAATCAGGTATAATGTTTTCTTAAGTTTAATCTAAATGTTGTTGGCTGCAATAAACACATAAACCTACAAAATATTTCACGATGCACTATTTATACAATAATGATAAATTGTGGAAAAGAATTCTGCATTGTATTTTTCATATAGATATTAACTTTCAGCTATTAAAGACAATAAATTTATCATGCTCCCTTTGTAAAAGTTAAATAAAATATGTTATATACATTATATATACTGACTCTAATAGATTATTTTTAGCTATAAAAAAGTTATTACTTTTATTATTTAAATCTTTAGCTAAGGCAGCAAGTATACTGGAAAAAAAAGCACATTGATGAGGAGGGATAAAAATGCCTGTTTTACTCCCAAGATTGTTATAAGGATAAAATAATGTAAAACAGTTTTGTCACTGTCAGATGTTGAAGAAGGTGTTGCAGGGATCTTTTTCACGTGCAATGATCCCCATCAGCTGGGCCAACCAGATATCTTGAGTATAAGTAATTTTATAAATTCTCATATTAGTTCTGATACTGTATTATCACTAACCCTTCATCCACTGAAACTATTGGACACCTAGCCATGTATATAATAGAGACCCAAAGTCCAGAGGGAAGAAATGATATAAATTACGTACCCAACCCTATTCAAGGTCATATTTCACCGAAACACATAGGCATCCCTAACTTTGCCCAATTCAACTAAAGAATTATACTTCTTATTAATTTATTTTAAATCATTTACAAATTTTATAATTTTTAATTAACTTTCTATTTTAGAACAGTTTTAGATTTACAGAAAAACTGAAGACTTTACAGCCTTCTTTTATAACCTGAGCACCCCATTTCTTCCATTATTAAGACATTAGTATGGTGTTGCAATTAATTAACCAG